AATTGTTTGCTCGTTGATAGCTTTATACTTTCACTAATTTGTTCATTAATATTCTTCTACTCAATATATGATAATATTTGTCCTTCAATCAATAGTATATGTGTCATCAATCCCTTCTAATTTATTGTTAAAGACAAACATATATTATTTAAAATAATTTATGACGGTAATGATATAATTATAATGTTATGTATGATTATAAATTTAAAATCTTGACATACCAATAAAGTAGATGCATATAATATAATAAGTAAATCATTGAATGAAAATAATTAATCATATAATGACATATCTAAAATGCAAATTTATAATATTACAACTATATTAATTTCTTTTATTTAAATAAATTTCACCAAATAAACTTTCAATAGATGCAAAAATATTACAGTACTATTTCTTGATGAAAATTTCTTTCTGCGCTCTTCAAACAAAATTTTCTGAGGTAGAAGAAGAGTGACCAATGCTGGTAAGGATATTGTCTGCACCAAAATTTCCTTCCCCAAAGGTTAAAAATTAAAAATTTTTAGTATATTTTTTTTTCATATTGAAATTACCTTCAATATGCTTTGTAATTCTAGATATCATATTTCCAACTTTATCGAGGTTAACGTACAATGCACTATGATAATGCCAAATTAATAGAATTAGTATATATTTTGATTTAATATATTATACAATATATTTATTAAAAAATTATTATTTTTTAATTTTGAAATTAAAAGTAGACAACTTAAAAAATGTAGCTATGCATACAAAATACAAAAACCAACTGCATTAATTATATTTATATTATATTTATAATAATTAAACTACAAATGTGTCCAAAAAATATGTTAAATTGTATAATTATTATTTTCCTAATTAATATTGTATTAAGGGCCGGGAAGTGCTTGCCAATCCCCACATTTCAGCCTAGTTGCTATGGTCACTGACTCACTGGTTATTGGGGAACACCTCCTATGAATTGGACGTTCAAGTCCCATAACCATAAGATCTCCTTCTCTCATTCCTCGTTACATTTAAAATATGTTCTAGTTGTCTTCTTTCAAAAAAATAAAAAAAGGGCTGGAAAGTGTTTTATCTTTTTTATAAGTGTGTTTTATTCTAAGTGTTTTATCTTTATGAGCATCCTAACTTATATTTACATCTATTAAACCAATTTATTAAAGAAAACAAATGATTACATTATCAAAAAATTCTCTACCGATTGATAGCCTTAACATATTTATTAGAAATTATCCGGACGGGAAAGGTAGCTCCACCTTCCCAATCACAGACAACTAATGGAATTAGACCAAGAATAATCCTAATCTTCATTAATGGAGTTAGACCAAGAATAATCATAATTTTTTTTGTAAATGAAAAAATAAGTATTATACAAATTCATTTTTTATAGGATCTAACGCGACTTAATTACAGATTAATTAATATTTAATATAATTATCAAATATCGAAAGATAAACAACAGAAAAAAATATGAAATTAATAATATGACTAACGTTACTACTACACAAAATAATGATAAATATGACTAACAATTAAAATAAAAATGTGA